TAGCCGCTTGAGCCACAGGCGCCGAGCCAATAATCAGTTTTTTAAAAAAACTCTGCTATAGCTTAGAAATCATCCCGTTTTTCTGATTATCTAAACAGAACAGGCATCTTGTAGAGCATAGTGGCACCTGCTTGTAGTCCCAGCTACTGGGGAGGCTGAGGCAGGAGTGCTTGAGGACAAAGTGAGACCGTGTTTCTAAGTAAATATGTAAAGATAAATAAGTAGATAGACAAATAAGCTGTAAAGGAATTGCCTATTAGAAGAAAGAGGTTAATAAGTAAATAAGGTTTTCCTTCCCTCTTCACCCTAATTGTTTCTAATCTCATAGAAATGCTTGCATATTTGGGAAAATGTTATCTTTTTGTTTGTGATTTAATTTGGACAGACTTAGGTTTAGAGCCAAACACAAAATAGTAGGCCAGGTGAGCAAGAAAAGCCAGGTCTTACCTTTTTTGCCCCTGTGCTTGCTTTTTTGCTGCATGGAAAGCTTGTCAATTGCACAAAACTTACCAGTTGCCAGCTGGTAGTCAAGTATCCTGTGTTGGGTGTTAATACAATCAGGAGTAGGTAGAAGGAGCATTGCTTTTTGAATGAGCCACATGGGGGTTGAATCCTGAACGTTTACATTAGGCTACGTTATCTCAGAAAAGTTACTCACCTCTCTGGTCTCAGTTTTCTTACATACAGAAACCAGAAACATGTTTGACAGGATTGTCAGGAGGAGTAAATCAAAGTGCCCAGTAGGGGGACACCCAGGGCAGGATCTGCGGTGCAGCCTTTCAGCTGACCATGTGTTCTTCACAAGGGTCCGTCTTCCCCTAAACCAGAGAATTTGAGTGGGGCAGGTGTTGTACGTTGCCCAGAGAACACAAGTTTGATTTGTGAATTTAATAACAGTTTTTCACGTTTCAAAAATATTTTGATCTGCCTGAGGAGAATGAAACCAAAGAATATCATCTCACCCTGGTCCATTTTCTTCACACTAACAATGGCCACAGTCTAATCTTCATCTTTAGAGATTTGCTAATAGCTGATCTAATTACAGTTGTAAGGAGCTAGTTCTAGAAAAGGCAGTTAATTGATTCGTATCTTAGCTTTTTACTTGTGTGTAAAGGTTTCTAGGCCTGAATCTTTTCCGTTTGAAAATGACAGACAGGCTCGGCGCCTATAGCTCAACCGGCTAAGGCGCCAGCCACGTACACCTAAGGTGGCGGGTTCGAATCCCCAGCCCGGACCCGCCAAACAACAATGACGGCTGCAACCAAAAAATAGCCAGGCGTTGTGGCGGGCGCCTGTGGTCCCAGCTACTTGGGAGGCGGAGGCAGGAGACTCGCTTGAGCCCAGGAGTTGGAGGTTGCTGTGAGCTGTAATGCCATGGCACTCTACCCAGGGGGACAGCTTGAGGCTCTGTCTCAAAAAAAAAAAAAAAAGAAAATGACAGACAAGAGTCCTTTGTTCTAGACCTAAATAGAGGACTGAAAGGAAAGTGCCATTTAAATATTTGGAGAGTTCTGTAAATTGTCATAAAAACGCAAATGGCAACTTGGGTACATTTCATTACAGTAAACTACACCACCTACAATTTTTTTTTTTTTTTGAGACAGATCCACAAGCTATCACCCTGGGTAGAGTGCAGTGGCATCACCGCTCACCGCACCCTCCAACTCCTGGGCTCAAGCAATTCTCTTGCCTCAGCCTCCCGAGTAGCTGGGACTGCAGGCACCCACCACAATGCCCAGCTATTTTTTGGTTGTAGTTGATGTTGTTTGGCAGGCCTGGGCTGGATTCGAACCCACCCGAGCTTTGGTGTATGTGACTGGTGCCTTAACTGGTTGAGCTACAGGTGCCGACCTTCCACCTGCATATTTTGTCTCAGAATTCACACCTCGTGAATAGTGAAGAGCGTGTCCCCTGCCCCATCATATTTATTTATTTTTTTGAGACAATCTCACTATGTCACCCTTGGTAGAGTGCTATGGTGTCACAGCTCACAGCAACCTTAAACTCTTGGAATTAAGTGATTCCAAGAGTTTCTTGCCTCAGCCTTCCAAGTAGCTGGGACTACAGGCGCCTGCCACAAGGCCGGCTATTTTTTGTTGCAGTTGTCGTCGTTTAGCTGGCCCGGGTCGGTTTTGAACCCACCAGCCTCGGTGTATGCGGCTGGCACCATAACTACTATACTACGGGCCCCATCATAATCTCTGGCTAAGTTGCTGGAGGTACTGACCTCCTCAAGAATCCTAAGTGCCTGTATCTTCCTAAATGCAGCCATGTACTGTGTTTTAAGGCTTTAAATTTTGAACAGAAGGATTCATTTTTGGATGCCTTAGCTCTTTCTTCTTCTTGCAAGGTAAATCTTCAGAAGCAAATTAACAGCAAAGGTTGGGGTCTGCCCTCCATTCTTACACCATTATCCACAGCTACCTTTTAATGGCAATGCTTTCTTTCCACTAAAGCTGTATTTTCTATGGCAAAATTCTATGGCAGTTTAGAAAATCTATTTCTTAGCAACATCTGATGAGTGAGCCACTTTTAATTATTTATACCATTTTTAATTTTTTAGAGACGAGGTCTTGCTCTGTCACCCAGGCTGGAATGTGGTGGTGTGGTCGTAGCTATCTATAAACTAAACTCCTAGGCTCTGCTTAATTACTAGTGGTGAGGACTATGGGTACTTCCCACCACACCTGGCTAATTTTTCAGTTTTTTTTTTTTTTTTTTTAGAGACAGAGTCTTACTATGTTGTCCAGGCTGGTCTTGAACTCTTGGGCTTAGGCAGTCTTCCTGCCTCTGCCTCCCAAAGTGCTGGGATTATAGGTGTGAGTTACTGTGCCAGGCCTGTGAGCCACTTTTTGTTATTCTCCCTATGAAAAGAAAAATAGCACCAGTGGTGTTAATAAAGGTTAGAACCAGAAGAATGACAGCTCAAAGTCTGAAGATTAACATATTTACATCACCATCAACTGAAATTTCCAAAGCTTTTTTTTTTTGGAGATAGTGTCTCAGTATGTCAGTATGTCACCCTCGGTAAGAGTGCTGTGGCATCACGGCTCACAGCAACCTCAAACTCTTGGGCTTAAGCGATTCTCTGGCCTTAGCCTCCCAAGTAGCTGGGGCTGCAGGCGCCCACCCCTCTGGCTGCATTCAAGGCTGTCCCTTCAAGGCTGCATGGAGTGGCTTGGAGGGCTGCAGAGGCAAAGCCTGACTTACCCTTTCACAGGCATTAAGAAACACCAACTTGCCACGAGCCTCTCATTTACAATGAGACAGAATATGGTTTTCGTTAGAAAGTAGAAAACGCTCAATATTTAATAATCAATTAAATGTTTACATTGCGCTTTGAATTTGTATCATTTTTTAGGCAAACATCCCCTGGCCTCCTTTTTCTTCCTTGTAAAAGAAAGTTAGGTAAGGTGATCTCTATACCCATTCCTGGTGAGATCAATTCTCACAATCTTATGACCCAATGCGGTTATCAACATCTTTCTTCATTTTACAAATGTGGAACGCGCCACTCACTTTAGGGAACTGCCCGAAGTCCCGCAGAGAGGACAAGATAGAGTGAGAGAATGAATCCTCGCACAGGGTTCCTACACATCCCTTTCCTGTATTCTCTGGGCAGTACACAGAGATCAAATCACATGCTCATTTAATTAAACATTTATTCAATGAAAGGATGTATAAAAACTTACAAATCTGAGAACTCAGCTATACATGAAGTAGAATGATGGGATACTCAGTTTTTAACATGTACATAGAGTATAGCTATTAACTATTTTCCCCTTCCCTTTCCCCTTCAGTCCTTATTTCTGGCTCCTATTCTGTCCTTTGAGACCATCCTTTTATTGGCTTAAGGGAAGATTAATGGACTGCATTCAGGCCAATGGAGAACATTTCAGGCATTAAAAAAATAAGAAAAAATAGAGAATAAACATCAAAATCAAGTTTTTTCCCAAATAGCAATTAGATTTTTATCCTGATTTCCTTTTGCCATTTTTGATGCTTCAATTAACATTGCCAGTAAAGTATTAATGTTGACTTTTTAAGTTATTAAAGTTACTTACTACACCTTCTGCTCACAACGTTCCTATGTAAAATGCACATTCTTTCATCCTTTCCCTCTGGTACATATGCTGATTTCAAAAAGCAGCCGGATGGCACAAAAGTGAGTTACCACTGTCACCTGCTAAAAAATGGCATGTTATTTTCTACTCAATTTATAGAGTAGTACTTTTGAATCTGATTTTTAAAACAGACAACAAATTTGTCAGAAACTAAAATACAGCATTTTTTTGTTGTTCCACACGGAAAGAAGCCAGCAATTAGATAAGGCATGTGCATTAATTCGCCTGTTTATAGCAAGTACCCATGCGTTTTCTTTTATAAACACACAAACTCACAGCTTCTTTGACCCCCAAATTAAGATTGCCATCACATTATTACTTTTTGTCTTTTGTGTTCTGTTAAAAGTCGATTTCTTAACTAATGATTTTTCTTAATTGGACATAATCTCAAAGGATGCATTCTGAAATAAAGACACCTGGAAGATAAATACTAATAACTTTTTTTGGGTTTAAAGTTTCCCCACACCTTCTAGATTTTGCATAGTACAGAGCCCAGAAGTATCTCTTAAGAAGCATGCTGTATTTCCTGACAATAGTTTTCTGAGAAGGAAGACTTAATACCCAGGGAGAGTCATAATTTTAGCTTACCAAATTGCATTCTAGTTGTTTTGTTATATACCCTTCATTAGTTCCAAGTATGCTTTTAAATAATCTAAAACTTCTCAAAATCTATTTGAGTGTATAAGTACTACTGACCGTTATCTTTCCAATATCCCCTGAATTAAAGTAGACACATTCCAGGTTTATAATGCACAAAGCCTTTACAGAGGTGGGGCTGGGATGGGGAGGAGGCGAAGGGGAGATGGGAACAGGGACCTGTTTGTATCATGCCACAGAGAACTACAGTTCTGAATTGGGGGAAGGGAAGGATGATAGTCTTAGTAAAAATGACAGTTTTTTAAAAGATAAGTAACATTCAGTCTAACAATACGGTTTCCTGTTCCTTTTTGATGGAAGCTAACACGGGGTGGTCAGGTTCCGTTACTTCCGAGTCCCCACTGCCCAGCAGAATAGACCGCCCTTCCTCTAGGGCAAAGACGTCCGAGTTCTGGTTTTGGCATGAATGTTTAACAACCTCATTGGGAGTTGAGAACGTTTTGTCACACAAGTTGCATTTGTAGGGTTTGTTGGTTTGTACCAGCATGTTGTCCATCTGACTACCTTCTTCAAAGGTGCAGAGCTCCAGAGTCTGTTTGTCCACCATGGTGTATGTGTCGATGCTCTGGTTGAGGCACACGTGGCGGGCAGCCTGGTTGGCCCTGCAAAAACTCTTGTCGCAAGTGCTGCATTTGAAAGGCTTGCCGGTGTGAATGTACATGTGCTCCCTCCAGTGGCTTTTCTGGATGAATTTCCGTCCACAGATTGTGCACTCGTACTTCCGCCTCTTCACCTCCCTCTCCTGGTCCGCCTGCTCCAAGTTGTCAATGTCAGCGATGTCGGAGGGGGGTGGGGTTTCTGACTGCTGCTGTCCATCAATGATTGGAGAATCTGAGATGTGCTGCAGCTCGCTGTCACTGATCATCCCCGCTTCAGGCACTTCCATGGCATCTTTCCCGAGGTCAGCTGCGTTGCTACAGAGAGACAGGGGCACGCGGCTTTCTCCCTGTTGGCTGGATGTGAAGGGGACTCCCGTGTGAATTTGGAGGTGTTCACGCAAGCTACTCCGGAGGGTGAAGCGCCGTCCACACAGGTGGCAAGCGTAGTACTTGGGGAAGCTTCCGTTCCTCTTCATGATGCTCGGCTTGACGTGGGCTATTGTGAGCGATGCAGGTTGTTCATCAGAGGAAGAGGCCTCCAGATTGGTCTCTTCCCCAGAGGGAGGGGGAGGAACAGGAGTGGAAACCAGTTCTGGAGACAGTGAGGTCTGCAGTGGGTCCGAGGGAGTCACGTTTGTCCGATTCACCTGGGCCAGATTTGAAGGCAGCTGGGAGAGCTGTGAGGCCTCTGGCACCGGTTCCTGGCTCATTCTGGTGGGCTGCGGCCTTGGCTCTCGCCCAAGTTTTTCAGGTGCTGAAGCAATCTTGGTGGCTTGTCTCAACTGATGATCTGCAATCTGAATGCCATACAATGAGGAAGCCAGGGGGAAAACCTGGTCAGGATGAGCAAAGGCTCCCTGGCTGGCGAGGCTGGCTTCCTGGATCAGTGGGTATGCATGCAGAAACTTGATCCCTTGTTCCAGCCGTACAGGGTCGATCAGCTGAGGTGCCATCTTCCCAGTGTACATCAAATGTAAGAGATAGCTGAAAATGTCCGGCTGTATGTCAGTTGGTTTCAAACGGACACACTCACTGAAAGAAACAGGTAACAACATCTGTAAATAAATGCCAATCGACATCTCAAATGATAACACAAAGCCTGAAAATAAATAATGGATACTTCAAAGGAAATGAAACAAGAGTATTTCCCATTTCTGACTATTACTAAGTTTCATGAGATGGGATGGAATAGTCAAGAGATAAGTTAGTGTTAAGCACATATGATATCATAAACCTGTAGGCTCTTACGCAGTTTTCTCCACCTAGTGAGGTAAGGTCAAATTAAATTTTTTTTTTAAAGAGATAGTCTCACTTTGTCACCCTCGGTGGAGTGCTGTAGTATCACATCTCACAGCAACCTCCAGCTCTTGGGCTTAGCTGATTCTCTTGCTCAGCCTCCCGAGTCACTGGGACTACAGGTGCCCACCACAATGCTTGGCTATTTTTTTGTTGCAATTTGGCCGGGGCTAGGTTTGAACCTGCCACAATCGGTATATGAGACCGGCACCCTACTCACTAAGCCACAGGCACCGCCTGGTCAAATTAAATATTATGTATTACATTTTATATACAACTCCAGGAATCCCTTATCAAATGTAATCATCAGGATCAGCATGGCTGATCTTTCTCATTTGATTGCCATTAATTCTCATTTTACAGAGAAGGGTTGAGGCCTAGAGGGTTAATACTTTCCTCAGTATCACATACTTGGTAAATGGTGGCACTGAGCTTTGAACCTAGATCTAATTCCAAAGCCACCACACCAAGATCCTTCAGGGCATTAAAGCAATCCTGTGTGGTAGGTAAAGCAGATTTGATTATTCCTATTTGACAGACATGGAAAGTGAGGTCCCCAAAAGTTAAGTGACTTAAATGAGGCACCTGAAGTAGACGATGGGACTGTTGATTTCCTAACTTTTAGACTCTACTGTTTGCATCATTTCAGAAACATCATCCTGAGCAAGCAGTAATAATGAAGAGGTCCCTAAGAACTCTTTCCACACCACCAGTAATGACTGAAATTCTTATGCATCATTAGAAATTAATGAGATATTTACCTATATATCATGAGATATAGTATCAACCACTGAGTGAATAAATTCTACAGAAAATGCATTTTCAACTTCAAAAACAGCTTCCTTGAATGCCTTTAGAATTTATAATAATTTTCTTTTTTACTATTTTTAATTAAAAAAAATGTTTTGTTGTTGAAACAAGGTCTATGTCGCCCAGACTGCTCTCAAACTCCTGGCCTCAAGGTGCCCTCCTCTGCTGGCCTCGCAAAGTGTTGGGATCACAGGTGTGAGCTATTGTGCCCAGTCCATTTTTTATCATACCACTTTTCAGTTCTGTAACTCTTTTGGCTCTTTTAATAATGTTGTTCATTTTATTAACAAGTATTTTCAATATGCTAAAACATTAACATCATACCCTGCTCTTCTAAATTTAAAATCAAAATGATTTTAATCATAATTTGTGGTAGAACAGATTTCGTTACGGTATTGCTATCAATGTGTACATATTTCAGAAAGCTGCATAAAAATAATCACTCAAAAATATTTCACTACAGGCCAAGAGCGGTGGCTCACACCTGTAATCCTAGCACTTTGGGAGGCTGAGGTGGGTGGATTGCGTGAGCTTAGGAGTTCCAGACCAGCCTGAGCAAGAGTCAGACCCTGTCTCTAAAAAATAGCTGGGTGTTATGGAAGGTGCCTGTAGACCCAACAACTTGGGAGGCTGAGGCAAGAGGATCAGTTGAGCCCAAGAGTTTGAGGTTGCTATGAAGATATGACACCACACACTCTACCCAGAGTGACAAAGTGAGACTCTGTCTCAAAAAAAAAAATTTTTTTTTACTACAAAGTATGGAAGTCAAAAAGTAAAAATCAAGCATAAAAACTGGCATCTCTCTGACAGTATAAAGGGAAGCGTATATGTGACTCTATTTTTCTTTTCTTTAAAAACAGACACACAGATCATTCATATTTTTATTTGGAGTCCTTTTATATCCCTTAAGATGGGAATGCAAACACAGGTGGTCTTCTCTTTAAGCACAGGATAAGTCCCGACAATACTAACTGCATACTATACCATATTTAGATGCTCTAGGGAAATTCAATATTTAAAATAAAGCTTCAGGGATTACACGTGGTGGAGACTTTACCAACGTAAACAATCAGCTCCTCCGTGAATACAAGACTGAGGGGAACTTTTCCAGGATCAGGCCCAGGCCTGAGGTGGGGAAGTCACAGGCCTTCAGAGATGCAAATTACCTGCAGACCCATCAGGCACATTCCTCCAGGGAGAGGGAGCAGGTAGGGTCCCCTTGGCTAACTCCCCTTCCTCCTCAAAAGTGGAAGGGCAGAGATCCAAAGCCGGGAGCGCTTTGTATTTTAGCATCCATGGAAGGTACCACCCAGCAGAGTCCCCTTCCAGAAAAATTTTGGTTTAAGTGTTGTAACTTTTTCTCAGTTGTTAGATAAACAATTCAACTATCAGTTTCTCAAATTTGGAAGAACTATGTACAGTCTCTGATGACAAAACCCTCAGCCCACACTTCAGCTGGGCCCACAAGGGCCCACAAGGGACTCCAAGGGCAACACTGGTGACCTCCTGCCTAGAAACAGAAAGTAGCAGCCCCTGGGTTGTACAGCGGCGGCCCCAGGGCTCAGGGAGGGCTCCAGACACCTAGTTATTTATTAAGATAATTTTTTAAGGCAGAAGCACATGTGCACACATATACACACACACACTTTAAAAGTAGGTGGAATGTTTGAAGTTCCTGCTGCTACATTTTGGCCATATCTGCCCTGGACTGCTTTACTGCCAGGAAGCTTGACCTCTAAAGTCACTCAGCTCACTATGGGCTGGACTTTGGTCATTTTCCAGTCATTTGGGAAGGACAAAGTTCCCTACAACAAAATTACATGTAAGTAGTTTCATTTGTAGATGTCTATTTGACATAACTCTTTTGATGCAGGAGAAAGATGAGTATACTTTCAGTACAGCTCAAAGTCCTTCTGTATAAACTTTCACAGTAATTTCCATTTTCAATTTTTACTTCACTAAAATTTTCAAATCAACAATAGGCTTAAATAACTTTAAGAGCAAAACCCATCTCTAAAAATTCTGGGTGTTGTGGTAGGTGCCTGTAGTCCCAGTTACTTGGGAGGCTGAGGCAAGAGGATCACTTGAGCCCAAGGGTTTGAAGTGGCAGTGAACTATATAATGCCACAGCATTCTACCGAGGGAGACAAAACGAGACTCTGTCTCAAAACAAAAGAAGAACTTTAAAAGTAAGGATTTTTAGATAATGTTAGCATTGTTAGAATGCTGCATTTAGAAAGGTCTGCCCCTCGGTAGTTTTATTTTTGAGAGCTCAAAGTCTGTAGTCCTCTGCGATTTAAACTTGAATGTAAGACACAGACAGCTAGTGGTACCCATGAGACAGAAATCATTCTCTGAGTTCAACACGAAAAAACACTGATTGTATGTATTCTCAGTTCTCAGTCTCTTGTTTACACTGTGTCCTGGTTTGTGCCGTGTTTGCCCTGCCTGATGAGCTAGAATTCTGCAATCTGCCTGTGGAAGTAGGCAAGGCTGGCCACTAGGCATGTGTCACCTTTGGTGCAGTTAACACACTATTCCTTATGATGGGACTTCTATCCCCTAAACATCACATTCTCTTGTTAGAAAGGCATTTATTTCCTGCCCTATACTTAAGGTAAATTTCTTGCATCTAATTAAAACACATTACTGTTGCATTATTTGATTTCTCAAAATTAAAACTGTCTCCTTTTCAAGATGACTCAATTCACTGTGTTGAGACCACCAAGTACAAAGCCCTCATGAGGCAGGAAGTCTCTAGCACCATGAAGTTCAGGGGAATCCTTAGTGCTGCAAGATGAGCCCCTCCTCCACTGTCTGCATGTTCCTTCTGCTCCTCCAGACAGTTCTCAACTGGCTATTGTGTTACGTGCAAATACTTCAGCTGTATCTGTGTGGTGTCCAAACAGATATGTAAAACCCAGTCCCTGCTCTCAAAAACCTCGCAAATGTGGTAGGAGGTATACATACAAATAAAAACAACATAGGGAAAATGTATAGCTCTCGTGAAGGGGCACAATTACGCGGCTGTGATCGGGAGTGAGGCAGAGGTCGCTTTTGTCATGTTGGTTCACTTGACTGGGGAGGGTTGTGGAAGAGGTGACATGTGGGACTTCAGGAGCAGGTAGAACACCAGCAAAGTGTGGTTCAGGTGAGCCCAAACGTGAAAGGAGGTCATTAGGTGAAGATGAGTGGAGGGGAGTCCCAGAGAGACCCAGCCCAAGGGGAGGCTGGAAGGAGGTCTGGCTTCAAGCCTGCGGGCCTTGAATGACAGAATCATGAGATTATGTTATTTTGATATGTAGGGGGCATCCTCTAGGCTTATGGTTAAAGGAATAACTCGATCTAGTAGGTTTCTGATCAAAGGGACAACACCATCCAAACAGTGTTTAGAAATATTAATCTGACAGTGAAGTGGGAAACGAATGATTAGATAATGGAAATGAGAAAGAGAAGGAAAGGAGGAATGTGATTTGAAGAAAATGTGATTTGGGAACTGATAAAATGTGATTTGAAAGAGATTTTTAAGTTTGAAAGAGATTTGAAGTTAATAGGCAGGTCAGGAAGTACCTTAGGAAAAGATGCCTAAATTTTACATCCTCAATAAGATAAAAGGAGAGACTCAACTCCTAATGCCCAGCAGCCAGCCTGCCAGCTATAGACAGAAAGGTCAAGGCCAGAGCTATAAAGTGGAGTTTCTAGCAGAAGCAAGATGGAGGAAAAGTGTGCACAAGACAGAACTCTAGAAGGCTGAGAAACACGATATTTGGGTACAAAAATGCAGATGACAACCACTTAAGAGCAAAGAAAACAGCAGCGAATGCTGCAGAGGACAGGATGCCCAGAGACCAAGATGGGGCAGTGGTTTTGATGAGGGGTGACCTTTGAGAAAGGATTTCGGTAGAGTGAGCGGGTGGAAACCACAGTGCAGACCGATAGGAAGAATGTGGGATGAAGACAGAGCAGACAAGGACCTTGATTACCCTTTTAAGGACTTTTAGAGTAGAATGACGGAGAAGCAGGCCTGTAACTCAAGTCAACATCAATGTCAAGGATGTCCTGATCCCTCATAGCTGGGGGTGGGGGAGGTGGAGGTTGGAGGAAAAGGGTAAAATCGAAAGCACAGAATAAACATTGAGGAGTAAGATCTGGGAGCCTGAGAGAGGGATGAAGATTGTTTGTCCGAGAGGCCTTTTTCTCTAAGATAAGGCAGATGAGAAGGAAAAAACGGAGCTGCGATATAATAGAGGCATTTTAAGACAGAAAAGAAGCAAACTAGGCAAATTCACGCCTCAAGCTTCTCACTAGAGTAGGAGACAAGAATCAATGTTGAAAAGTGGAGAATACTCAGAGGACTGGGGCTGGAGGAGTGAGAGAAAAGGCTTAGGTAAGGACTACTGAAAAGATTACAGAAGAAGGGGTCCACTGAGGTCGCATGGCTGGCTTTATAATGACCCTATTTACCAATCCTGACTGTGCAGGTGACACCCAGTGAGGATATTTGGAGGTGGAAGGGCTATGTGGAGCTAGCAGCTCTGGATTCTCAGGTGCTACGGAAAGCACCAGTAACCAAGAAGGGGAGGGGGCAAGGGGGGTGACAAGGGAACTGGGCACCTAGGAGCCTAGGGAGAGGTAGAGACCCACGGTCTTGATGAGGGCAAGGGACACGAAGTCTACAGTCATTAGGTTATTAGCAACCACTTTAGTTACCTGGTCTGATGGACAAACAACATCTTAAAGTAATTGGAGAATGAAGCAAGAACTGATTTGTGTGCCTTGAAGTACACATCGCCGATTGCAACCGTGCAGTCACACAGGAAACCAAACTCGCGCTGAGCGTTTAACTGTTGCAGGAGAATAAGTCCATGGTTGGCCAAATCCATTTTTTTAAAAATCTGCAAAGCAAACAATTTTATTTTTAAGAAAGGTGATTCACAATTAAGTATGTGTCCTTTACAGTCACCAACAGTAATGATCATAGCTAACATGTCATCACAGCTACTGTGTCAGGCACTGCCAAAAACGTCACATACATTAACTCATTTAAATGTCTTCTTAACAGTCCTCGGTAGTAGGTGGGTCATTGCTCTGAGCTTTTTTTTTAAACACATGATGTCATTTTAGGTAAATTAGGGAGCTCTGTGATTTACGGGGATGGCAAGTGGAGAAGCCAGGAAATGAATCCAGGTAGTCCGACTTCCAGCAAGCACAGTTTGTCCTTGAGACAGCAACTATTTCCTGGGTCTTTTAGTTTAAGATCTCAAATGCAAATTCTAATGATGCATCAGAATTGGTTAAAACTTCCATACACAGAGACACGTTAAGGTGCTGGGGGCGGGCAGGATGAAAATCTTACTAAGGGCAATCTTCCAGCTCCCACAGTGCCAGTGGGGAAACAGCCGATTCACCCATTATCCCCATCACTCATCAGTCTCCACTCTCAATGTCACTCACAACACCAGTGCAGTGAGGAAGTGGGATTGGTGCTCTGCCTTCTTTTTTGTGGAAATGAAAATGGGGTTTGGGAAGGTGTAAATAACTTGCCCCAGGCCGCCTAGCTGGAAGGTGTGGAAGTCACAATTTAAATCTGAAAGATTCCAAATTCTGTGATTTTCATTACTCACACTTGACCCAGCAAAGCACTGTATCTATTTATAGTGGACAAGCTGTCTGATGTTGCCAGGTCGATCAGATCACTAGACTGCTCCTTTTTTCATCAACAGCATTTGTAAAAAGCCCATTCCGCATAAACTAACATTATATTTAACATTAAACTTAAGACATTAACATTATGCTGAGAAAGAGTAAATGATTTCTCCCTAAGACTGAGAATAAGGCAAAGACGTTTGCGCTATTTAACACATTACTAGAAGTGTGAAATGAAGCAAGAAAGGAAATGAAAGGCATACAGATGAAAAAGAAAAAAAACGAACTTTTCCCGATTGCAGATGGGATGATTCCAGAGGAATCTCTAAAATTCCTAGAATTAATAAAGGAGTTTGGCGAGTTCATAAACATAAACAAAAAAAAATTAACCGTAATTCTACATACCAGCAAGGAACACACGACACTGATGTTAAAAATACAATGCCATTCAGAATCGTTCAAAAAATGAAATACATAGGTATAAACCCACAAAACAGGTGCAGGACTCGTAAAAACTCAATGAAATAAATAAAAGATTTCAATAAATGGCTAGACATGCTATATTTATGAATAGGAAGACTCAACATAGGAAAGATATCACTTTTCCCCAGATTGATACATGTTTGAAATAATTCCTATCAAGATCCCAGCAAGATTTTTTTTGTAGATATAGACAAAATTATTCTAAAATGTGTATGTAAAGTCAGAGGGACAAGAATAGCCAAAACAATTTAAAAAATAACGAAGAGGGAAGCAATCAGTTTACCCAACTTGGAATATTGCTACAGCATTCAAGACCGGATGGAATTGGCAGAAACAGACATGCAAATCCACGGAGTAAAATGAAGAACCCAGAAGTAGACCCATGTAAATATGCACACTGGGACTGACAAAGACACAGCAGCAACTCAGTGAAGGAAGAATATAATATCTTTTCAACAAATGGTGCTGGAGCCGCTAGACTTCCATAGGAAAAAAAATAAAAGGAACTTTGACCTGGGTCGCACACCTTATATAAAAACTAACTCAAAAAGTATAATGGATATAAATGTAAAACATACAACTATAACACTTTGGGGGGGGGGATGGAAGAAATTCTTTAAAATCCAGGGCTAAAAGAGTTCTTACACTTGACATCAAATGTTCTTACACTTGACTAAGAGAAAATATTTGAAAACCTTTTCAAATTAGTCCTTCAACAAAAGATTAATTTGTGGAATATATAAGAAACTCTCAAGACTCAACAGTTAAAAAAAAAAAAGCAAATTAGAAAATGTACAAGAAACTTGAAGAGATATTTTACCAAAGAGGCTACACAGATGTGCAACATCATTAACCACTAGGGAAAAGCAAATTAAAACCATAATATCACCTAATCAGGATGGCTAAAATTAAAAAAAGGAACAATACTAAATGTTGGCAAGTATGTGGAGAAACTGAATCACTGACACTGCTGGGGTGGGACAGGAAATGCAAGATGGTACAGCCACTCTAGAAAACAGCAGTTTCTTAAAAAACGGAATATACAGCTACCATTTGATCTAGCAGTTGCATTTCTAGAATTTTATCTCAGAAAAATGAAAACGTATGTTCACACAAAACCTATACTGCAGATGTCCACAGAAGTTCATTCATAACAGTCAAAAACTAGAAACCACCCAGGTTTCCCTTAGGGGTTAAACAGTTACAAAAACACTGTAGAAAGTCCCTACCGGCTCGGCGCCTATAGCTCAACCGGCTAGGGCGCCAGCCACGTACACCTAAGGTGGCGGGTTCGAATCCCCAGCCCGGACCCGCCAAACAACAATGATGTCTGCAACCAAAAAATAGCCGGGTGTTGTGGCGGGCGCCTGTGGTCCTAGCTACTTGGGAGGCGGAGGCAGGAGACTCGCTTGAGCCCAGGAGTTGGAGGTTGCTGTGAGCTGTAATGCCATGGCACTCTACCCAGGGGGACAGCTTGAGGCTCTGTCTCAAAAAAAAAAAAAAAAAAAAAAAAAAAAAAAAGAAAGTCCCTACCATGGAAAAGTACTCAGCTATATGAAGAAACAACCTACTGATACAACTTATGTGAATTATGCTCAGTGAAAAAAGCCAATCCCAAAGATTACAGACTGTATCACTACATTGATGTAATTTATTTTTGAAAATTATGGAAATGGAGACTAGATTAGTAGTAGTGCGTGGGGGGTGCTGGGTAGTTGTGTCCACAGAAGGGCAACATGAAGGATCTTTGTGGTGATTAACGTTCTGTATGGAGCTGACTGTGTCAGTGTCAATATCCTGGTCATGCTACTACAGTCCTGCAAAATAGTTCCATTAGGGGGAACTGGGAAAAAGGCTTAGGATGGCTGGGCTCACACCTGTAATCCCAGTACTCTGGGAGGCCCAGGCGGGTAGACTGGTTCAAGGTCCAGCCTGAGCCAGAGTGAGACCTTGTTTCTACTAAAAATTGAAAAACTGAGACAAGAGGATCCCTTGAGCCCAAGGTGAGACAAGAGGATCCCTTGAGCCCAAGGTTGCTGTGAGCTATGATGCCATCACACTTTACCCAGGGCAACAGCTTGAGACTTTATCTCAAAACAAACAAACAAACAAAAAACAACATCAACAACAACAACAACAAAAAAGCAAATGGCCAGGTGTGGTGGCTCATGCTTGTAATCCTAGCACTCTGGGAGGCTGAGGCTGGCAGATTGCTTGAGCTCAGGAGTTAGAGACTAGCCTGAGCAAGATGAGACCCTACCTTTACCAAAACTAGAAAAACTGAGGCAAAAGGATCACTTAAGCCCAAGAACTTGAGGTTGCTGTGACCTATGATGTCATAGCATTCTAGTCAGGGTTCCAGAGTGAAACTGTCTCAAAAATATCCCCTAACCTCCAAACCCAGGGTGACCAGATGTCCTGCTTTTTAACACTTTGTCCTGTGTCCAGTGATGTTTTGAAAAGTCCCAATTTTTGGAAAGAATGCACGAACAGGCGGGAGAACAGGAAGGGAATATACAGTTTTCAGCTGCCATGTGCCTATTTCGCCAGAATATGAGTTTTATATTATTTTTGTTAATTTTATAATGTTAAGCTGTAATAATAACAAATAATTATTGAGAAGTGATTATCGAGAACTGCTTATCAAAGTTTGCATGGTTGTCAGGCCCTGCCCTGCCCCGTCCCCGCCCTGCCCCGCCCTGCCCCCGGGCCATGTTGTCCAGCTTTACCAATGTTAAAATCTGGTCACCCTATTCAAACCCCAAACCAGACCCATGGTAATAATTCTTATTCAGCAAATGCTGGACAAAGTGTGCCTTAAAATAAATGAATGTAATTGAATAATACTTTAAGAGACTAATTATGTCACAAAGTAAGAATCTAGAATGTTGGGCAGTACCTGTGGCTCAAAGGAGTAGGGCACTGGCCCCATATGCTGAAGGTGGAGGGTTCAAACCCAGCCCCGGCCAAAAAAAAAAAAAGAATTTAGAACATCAAATTTCATGTTTTCTACCAAAAGCCATACTTAAGTATGAGAGATAGGAGAGTCATCCAGTTTTGCAAGTGATTTGGTCATAACGACCTAAATTGGGGTATGGTGGCTCATGCCTATTATACTAACACTCTGGGAGACTGAGGCTAGAGGACTGCTTGAGGCCAGCTGTTCAAGACCAGCCTGAGCAGCAGAGTGAGACCCTCATTTCTATAAAAAATAGAAAAATTAGCCAGGCATGCTGGTACATGCCTAGAGTCCCAGCTACGTGGGAGGGTGAGGCAGGAGGATCTCCTGAGCCCAGGAGTTTGAGGTTATAGTGACCTATGATGACACCACCATACTCTAGCTGAGGTGATGGGGTGAGACAGTCTAAAAAAACCCACAGAAATGGCTCGGCGCCTATAGCTCAACCGGCTAAGGCGCCAGCCACGTACACCTAAGGTGGCAGGTTCGAATCCCCAGCCCGGACCTGCCAAACAACAATG